TCTAGCATTCACTGACTTATTACCGAGGGTCATGTTGCTGTCCCTCTCCTGAGGATATCTGTAACATTTAGATCTTATCCATGATAGTCATTCTGCCTTAGAAATCCTTAAGTTGGCCACATCTGCCAGGTGCTTTTCCAGATGGTATAATGCAGGTGTCCTGGTGTTTTTGGAATGGTGGGTAGTATTATTTATCCTGATGTAGAAAGTGTTTTTTAAGGACTATGGAGTATAAAAATACATGAATCACATACAATAATGTAATATGGATTAATTATACACTGTGCTATTAATTGTAAAGTATTAATGAAAGTGAAAAACTAAAGATTGGGCTGGTGAGGTGGCTCAGTGGGTAAGGATGCCTGCCACCACGTCTGATAACCTGCGTTTGATCTCCTCTCCCGACCCACATGGTGGAGGAGAAGTGACTCCTAAAAGTTGGCCTCTGACCTCCACATGCATGCTTATACACACATGCATTCGCATGTACACAAGCACACATACTACACTAAGTAAAGCATGTAATTAAAAAAAAGCCCCTATGTAAATGAAAATTATCTTACAAGGCTGGTTGTGGTGTATGCCTTTAAACCAGAGACAGGCGAATCTCTCTGTGAGTTCAAGGCCCGCCTGGTTTACAAGCAGGTTCCAGGACAGCTGGAGCTACATAATAGAGAGGCCCTGTCTCAAAAAACAGATTATCTCACAGAAAAATATTAGCTATAAAGATCAAAACCATGGTTTTATTTTTATAAAAATACATATAGTACATATGTGTTTATATACATTGGAAAATATTAAAAGGGTGTATTTTAAGAATGTTCATTCAGGAGATAAATTATTTTTGAAGGCCAGGCCTCATGGTAGCCACTTGGAATCCCAGTGCTTGTGGAGGCTGAAGCAGGAGGATTCTTAGTTGGAGGACAGGCTGGGCTACATAGTGAGTTCTAGGACATCCTAACAATATAGCAAATCTTGCGTCAAAAGACCAAAAGTAAATGGATATATTTCTTCTTTGAATAATGTTCTTTTATATTTTTAAGTTATGTGTACTTATATGAGTGTGGATGGATGTGTATGTGTGAATTTAGGTTCCCAGAAGGTCAGAAGAAGTTATCGGGTTCCCTAGAAGCTGGGGTTACAGGTGGTTCTGAACCAACTACTGCCGATTCTGGGAACCGTCTGGGTCCTCTGAAAGAGCCACCAGTGCTCTTCACTGCTGATATTTAGAAAGATGCACTCCTTTTAGAGTTGGTTTGTTAGGAGGAAGGCAGTTGAAAAATGTTTAACTTTTTAAGATTTATTTTATATATATGATTGTTTTTGCCTACATGTATGTATGTGTACCACGTGTATGACAGGTGTCCATGGAGGTAAGAGGAAGGTGTTGGAACTGAGCTTACGCATGGGCATGAGCTACCATATGGGTTCTGGGGAACTAGACCCAGATCCTTTGGAAGAGCAGCAAGTGCTCTTAACCTCAGAGCCATCTCTCTAGCCCCTGTCCTTTAAATGCCTATGTTTTTGATGAAAGATAGTAATAAGAACCAAATAAAGGCAGGTAAGTACACGTTGACTCATAGTTTAGGGAGTTAGCAACCCTTATTAGCATGTCACCATTGTCTACTTTGGAGTTCTTAAATATAGTTGGACTTCTATGAGTCATATGGAGTCTGGTTAGTTCATTAAATCTTCATATATTCATTCATGTAAGATCTTTAAAGTGTGTCAGATGTATTTTTAGTGCAATTCTGTGACCATTTCTAATATTAGGATTTTTATTTTATATGAGACTTTACGCAGTAGTTTTAACATAATTTGATTATTACCAATTGATTGTTCTTTGTTTTTCATTGTAGTGACTTACAAGGAGTAAGAACAAATGCCAAAAAATCTGGGAGTGATTGGATTCTCAATGGAAGCAAGGTGTGTAGAGAAGGGCTTCTCTTTCTCTAGTCTGCACATACCTGATGAGATGATCACTCTAAGGACTTGTTTGATCAAGTGGTCCCGTAGATCACTACGGGAATTGTTGGAGTTTTCAGAGTAGTAAGACATTTACAGTTTTTATATGGCAGAATCTATAGCTAGCCTCTTCTATGTTCCTTGTTGCTTGACCTTCTACCAACACTGTGAAGGTTCTTTTAGCTTCCAAATAACTCTTGACAAGCCAAAAAAGAGACGGAGAAGGAAGGAGAAGGAGGAGGTGGTGGCAACAGTAATGAAGAAAAAGGTTTTGTTGCCCCAGAGTGGGACAAACAATGAACTTTATGCTGATGAAAGACTGGGTGAAGGTGGGTGTGGTTTCGTCGTGCACACCTTTAACCCCAGCGCTGAAGGGGACAGAGACAGGAGGCTCACTGAGACTTGCTGGCTACCAGCATAGGTGAAAAATGCAAGCCCCAGGTTTAAGGAGAGACCCTGTCTTAAAAGAACAAGGTGGAGAGTGATGGAGGAGAAACCTCACACATATGTAAACAAATAAATAGTAAATAAATTTTATAAAAACAGATTAAGAGCGAGCTGGAGAGATGGCTCAACAGTTAAGAGTCCTGGTCCCTCTTCTGGAGGGCCTAGGTTTCATTACCAGCACCCACATGGTGTAAATCCACTTCCAGAGAATCTGCTCCTCTCTTCTGGCTCCTGTGTGTACAGCATGCGTGTGCACAGACATACATGCAGGGAAAACTACCCGAACATAAAATGGAAAAAAGAAAGATTGAAAGAAAAGGTTTCAAGTGAATATCAGAAAGTTTCAAAGAGATCTTAAGAGATAAACATGCAGGCGATAGGATTTCAAGAATCCTCCGGTTCTTCTGAGAATCAACTTACTGATAGACTTTGAGAACTCCTCAAGCAGGTACAACTGGCTCAAGAGCAAATATATGCCTGAGGAGAAATGCTCCAGTTGACTCAACGTCAAGGAAAGATGTTTGTTTTTAATACAAGGCCTGTTTGTGGATGAATTTTCTTGTTTGGTTGCCTTTTTTTTTTTGTGCAAGTGTTTGCACCCAGGGTTTTTCTAGAATATTGCTAGATTTTATCACTCTCCTGGTGGTGGGAGATGGGGGACATTGTTATTGTTTGGGCTGTTTGTGTTTTTAAGGCAGGGTGTTGCTAGACAGCCCGGGAGGCTTTGAACTCATGATCCTCCTGTGTTATCTGCCCAAACATATGCAGCTGTGCTGTGTTTGTTTTTAAATTTTTTTCTATATGCTTTAAGTTAATGCTTTTATCTTTATAAAATCAAATAATATTGTGGTACTGTCAGGTTCCTTAAAATCTGATTTTCTAACTTATGTTGTTAGTGTCTAATAACAGTTTGTTTTCTGATGTGAGTACTTCCTGGACAGGAAAACAGCTGCGGTACAGAATAACTTTGGAAAAATGTGGAGAATTTCTCACTCTTTTTCTGTGGTCATGTGGATTCTCCAAAAATTGAAGACAGTGTGTCTTGTATCCTAGATAATTTCCTCTTATAGACTGTTGTGAATCACTGAAATTATTCAAATATACTTGAAGAAGCAGTGTCCTAGGCGTTGTGGATATGGAGAGAGAGTGCCTACTATGTTCAAAGCCCTGGTTTTGATGCTGTAGAAACCAGAACATCTCATAAGCCTGGCGTGGTGAAAAGGTGGTGGCACATTAGGAGTGCCTAACTCGATGTGGAGGCCTGAGAAGAATTCTAGGTGATGTGACCTTAGTCCGACCTAGATGAGTAGGGCTCACTCTGTCAGAGTTAGGAAGGCCTCCGAGGGGAGGAAGTGCAGTTTTCAAGGGCTCGGGTCTGGAAGGCCTTAGAAGGTGTTCAGGAGAGCTGGGGCGGGGACAGAAAATGGAGACCGCTAGGACGAGAGAAGAGGTAGGAGATGGAAACCGCCCTCTGTTTGGGAGAGTTTAATGTGCCTGCCCCTAAGGGTTTAGAATGCGCCTGGAAACCTAGCTGTCCAAGGATGCTGGAGTGTGGACATGGTGAATCAGGCTGCCTTTGAACGGCCCCTCTGAGAACCTGATGGGTGATAGCGTTTTAGTGAGAGCTGTTATAGAACCTTGTGGAAGAACTGGTGAGGGCTGGGAAAATAAGGTAATGTCAGCAGGAGAAAAGGAAGTAAGCAGACTCAAACGGGTAAAGCGAACCAGCGTGAATCATGCCCATCTGAACGTGAAGCAGATGATAGTGTAGTTGATCAAAGCATCCGCTGCTGTGGAGGGTAAGTTAATAATCATTATTGGGTAGGAGTATGGGATGGGAAGGATGAGCCGTGGTCATGAGTCATTTTATGGAATCCAGGTAGGCGTGCAGGTCAAGATCATATCAAGGAATGTGGCTTAACTGGGCTTGAAGGTACACACCTAGCTTCCCTTTATTCCCTGCACTCTGGAGGCTGAAGCAGAAAGATCTTAAATTGTAGGCCAGCTTGTACTGCACAAGTTGAAGCCAGCTACCTAGTGAGATCCTGTCTCATAGAAATGAATAATAGACAGCTATGGAGTTTCAGTAGGTGACTAAGCCAGGCAAGGTGCAAACGGAGGTGTCTGTTAACTATAATGCTTTCCTCATTTAGACCATTTTGAAAGTAGTCAATCTTTATTAAAAACAAAACACTACCCCAAACTGTCTTTTCAAAAACCCATCCTCTTAAAGAGTATATTTAAATTACTTTTTAAAAGCCAGTTCTCTTTTCCTCTCTGTGACTGTCCTCTAAAATTCAGTTTACCAAGTGAATGGGAAGTTTGGTTTTATTCTAGAGCCATAATCTATTGGTTTCCTGTCATTCATCACATGAGTAGTGGAGAAATGTGTACGCTTCGTATTGCATGGTGACCCCTGGCTGTTTGCTACCCTTCGTTGTGAACAGGCCATTCTGTGTGTGCAGATGGGGTAGCCGCTCCTGCCTGTGCTAGTCCTCCTGCCTGTGCCCCACCCCACCAGGACTGGCTTGCTCGGGGACCAGAATATTACAGGGCATCACAGTGCATTTGGGTTTTTGCAGGTGTTCATCACTAATGGCTGGTTAAGTGACCTTGTGATTGTAGTCGCCATAACCAATCGTGAAGCTCGATCGCCTGCCCATGGCATTAGCCTCTTCCTGGTGGAGAATGGAATGAAAGGATTTATCAAGGGCCGGAAGCTGCACAAGATGGGAATGAAAGCTCAGGTAGGTGATGGTGTGGATCAGATCTGGCAGTTCATTGTTCACTCTCAGTCAGAAAGCAGATATGGAGCGTCCTTCCGGCATCTTCCTGTGCTGATTGCCAGGGTGCCTTCTCAGAAACAGCAGAGGCGATTTCTGGGATGCCCCTGCCTCAGTTGTGCTCAGCAATGGGAAGGAGTCGGGGAGTTTTGAGTATCTGCTTAAGAAATGGGAACGTTAGCTTTTGTAATTGTAATAACCGTCTGGGAAATTTAGAAAGTTATGCAGTAATAAGAGTATTTTGGTATATATTACCAGAAAGCATGCTTAATGTGTGGTAGAATTTCTCACTTCCCAGGACCTAGAAAACTGGACAGTGTCAAAGCCTGAATGACGGTTGTATTGCAGTGAGGAAGCCACACATGGTGGGATGAGATGGAATTAGATAAAATACCCTCGCTTATGGCTCCACACACGGTGGGATGAGATGGAATTAGATAAAATACCCTCGCTTATGGCTCCATCTCCATGTTCATTTCAGTTTTTCTTTGTTTCATCTTCTGTGGAAGTTGTGGTTGTTACTGGGTTACTGCGAAACCAATGCCCGCATTCTCTGCTTGACCCATGTTTCTTAGGATACGGCAGAACTATTCTTTGAAGATGTCCGATTGCCAGCTAGCGCCCTACTTGGGGAAGAGAATAAAGGCTTCTACTACCTCATGCAAGAGCTCCCACAGGTATTAAATGCCTAACATGGCCATCTTCTGGTTAGAGACTGCCGGTTAGATACTGCACAGAAATAAAGAGCCGTACAGATCCATGCATTAAGGTTGTGTGCCACAGCAGGCATCTGAGTATCACACTGCACATAAAGAAAGACCACTGTTACAGGTCAGATAAGGAGGTAACGGATCTCGGCAGGATCCAACCAAAATGTAACCAAAGTAAAGAAAATAGGTATTTTATTTCTGTCATTCTTCCTTGCAATGATTCTGGCTTTTTCTTAAGTGAAGAACTTCTGTAAATTACTGTGACTCAAAGGGGAGAAAGTGTTAAACAGAAAGATCCGTCACATCTCAGTTTGTGCTTTGGGGTCGTAGTTGCCTAATTGTTGGCGCTTACACTTACTGGTGTGAGTGTGTTCACCCGATGGTGGCTATGGCTCCAGCTAAACATGAAATTGGCAGAAGCCAATGGCTCCAGTAGTAAAGTAGAGCACAGAAACCCCCAGCGTGGTGGAATTCAGCGACTAAAGCTATTTTTGCACTGATTGGAAGAATTTGCCCTGTGGACATGAAGATGTTGTGGAGCAGAGCTGCATCCATGCACTAGTGTGTAGTAGACAAGAAGGAAGTCAGCTGTGGAGCTAACTCCGTGTGTGGTGGAGACACTGTGGGAGCTAACTCCGTGTGTGGTGGAGACAGTGTGGATAAAACCCGAGCAGCGTGGCCTTGTTTCAACTGTGTCACCGCCACCACAGACCTGGGGAGTCTTTCCTAGCGCTAAGAAGGAAGTTAAAATATGACCTTCAGTAGTTTGTTAAGGCAATTTTTTATAGGACTCATTAAAATGGTATGAAAATCGTTTATGTAATAATGCTTACTGTTTAATTTTGGGTTCCAGGAAAGGCTGTTAATTGCAGATTTGGCAATTTCTGCCTGTGAGTTCATGTTTGAAGAAACCAGGAACTATGTTAAGCAGAGAAAAGCTTTTGGGAAAACAGTTGCACACATACAGGTGAGTTCGTCAGGTCAGTCATCACAGCTGCGGCAGGGTGGGGTGCTAATAATTCTGATGCAGGGTACTTTAGAAACATGACAGTAGACAAGCTGCCTAGAGGAGAGTGTAGGAACGCTGAGATAAGAGGAGGGCCAACGGCAGATCCCAAAGAAAACTGAGATTTGATGGTGACGTAGAAAAGGAAGATCACGCAAGAAGCAGAGAAGGAAAGGAGAAGAGAAAAGGCAGGTCAGGAGAGGCTTGTCGCAGAGGCCAGCAGGGAGACCGGGGAGGGAGACATGGAAGTGTGGTCTCCCTGCTTTCCTGTGAACCATACAGCCACCATGCTGGAGGAACTTCTCACCGGCGGCTGAGGGTTCACATTAACTCTTTCACATGAGTCTGCTGGAGCGGCTTTGCAAAGGAGAGTTAGAAATGGGACATCTGCATAGCATTACAGGAACAACCTTTGGAGCACTGTGGCCAAGTGTGCTTACGTCCTCACATGGCTCCCGAAATCTCTACAGTCAAGGCAATTATGTTCTGGAAGAAATATTTTCCTGTTTATAAACTTTAGAAATTCATCTAATATGCAAAATGGTAAATCTTACTATGAAAAATTTCTGAAGTTTATAAGATTGTGTTTATTCAAAAGTAGAAATATTTTTCTATTTATGAATAATATTAGTACTTACCTTATGTGATTACTGTAAGGATTTGATGGGGCAGTGCATATAAAGTACTTGGAATATTGTGTTCCATGGGCATGTGCACGCATACACACATACATAGACACACACAGATACGATAAATAAATCTCTAAAATATGCTACCCATATTTCCTGAATAATCCACAAAGCATATTATTAGACATTTAACCATAAAGGAAGTAGATCTGTACTCTTGTTCCATAAAAGAAAAGGATTCCTTTAAAATGCAGTCATGGGGGCTGGTGTGGCTCAGTGGGTAAATGTACCTGCCACCAAAGTCTGGTGACCTGAGTTCGAGTTCCAGAACCGATGTGGTAGAAGGACAGAACTGACTCCTGAAAACTGTGACCTCAACTCAGGCACTGTGGTATGTTTGTGCCCACACACATATATACATACATACATACATATAAGAAATAAATGCATATAATTTAAAATATAGTCATGTACTATAACAATGTATGTATAACAATGCAGTCATGATTGATGGACTGAACAAAAGACCTGGCGATGGGCCACTCATAACATGGTAGCTCCACGTGATGGTGGCGATGCTGGTGTAAGCAGCCAATCAGTCATGCAGACACAGTGCATTCAGTTAGGCAGGATATAATATTTGATAATAAATTTTAGGGCTGGAGTGATGGCTCAGAGGTTAAGAGCATTGCCTGCTCTTCCAAAGATCCTGAGTTCAATTCCCAGCAACCACATGGTGGCTCACAACCATCTGTAATGGGGTCTGGTGCCCTCTTCTGGCCTGCAGGCATACACACAGACAGAATATTGTATACATAATAAAATAAATAAATATTTAAAAAAAAATAAAAATAAATTTTATTGCTCATGTATTATGCTATACTTATTGTCACTGTCTCAGGCTGCATTACTTCTTTTATTAAATGACGTTTACCTTGAAATAATGTTATGCCAGCGGAATCCTCAGACACTGTTGTTCACCATGTCTCTTGCCTGTCAAGATGCTCCGCCAAACATCTGACCTGTACCATTTAGGCTCACACGATGGCGAAGTTGGTTAATGGCTTATTACTCAAATGATTCACCTTATTAAGTAATACATAACTATATTTCATTTTCATAACAAAAGATAAATATGCCTGTTTTTCAAAGCAAGTGTTGTTACCTTCTCACAAAACACGAGTAGTTCACTAGATTTTCAGTAGGTGGCAGTAGTAATCTCCAGTCAGTGGTTCTCAACCTGTGGGTCGAATGACCCTTTCACAGTGATCAAATATCAGATATCCTACATACCAGATACTTACATTTCGATTCATCAGAGTAGTAAAATTACAGCTATGAAGTAATATTTTATGGTTGGGGGTCACTACAACTCTATTGAAGGGTAGCAGCGTGAGCAAAGCAGAGAACCACTGGTCTCAATACTACTTGTGTGGGGGGTTGTGTGTATGCTGTGTGTGGAAAGCACGTGCACGAATGTGTAGGTGAGCACACTTGTGTAGACTTGTATGGAGGCCAGAGGTTGACTCAGTATTTTCCTCCACAGCGTTCAGCTTGTTTTTTGAGACAAGGTTTCTTCCAGAACCTGACACTGTTCTGGCTAGAGTGGCTGGCAGTGAACCCCGCAGTCTACCTGGCTGTGCACCCACTATGTGCAGATGGATTCCAGGGACAAACTAGCACACTTGGCTGTTTTGTGGGTGCTGGGAATCCAAAGTCGGGTCCTCGTGCTTGCGTAGGAAGCTGTTTACTCCCTGAGCATTTCACCAGCTGCCGACAGCTTCATATCTTTATGGAAAGTACTATTGTTTTCCTAATAAGAATATGTTGGGATTTCTTTCAAGTTTCTTTAGTAAGTTTCTTTGAATATTTTCATAATTCAAGTTTAGAAGTGCAGTAACACAGATGACTAATACATCCCTATTATCTTTTATTCTAAAGCTGACTGAGCTCTGGTTCTGTTAACTGAAGTTGATAATCTGTACATGGTAATGTTATCCTTGGCCAAATGCTACTTTAACATAATTATATTTCCTTTCTTTCTATAATTCTTGAATCTTGAACGTTTGGCTCTTTTGCCTACTCAGGTCCATACCACAAAATCCATCTCCTTTGTAGACTAGAGTATTACTATGATAAGGAAACAGGAGTTACAGGAAGACTTCATGGTAATAACCACAGCTCGTGGTTTGCCCTGAAATAACTGATAAAGCAGCACAACTCAGATGTTAGTAATAACAATAATGTGTATCATTTATTAACCGCCTTCCATTTCTTAGATGCTGGGTTTAATGTAGTTTTATCTTTTTTCATAACTATATAATAGTTATTACTATTATCTTTATTTATAAAGCAGTTAAGCCAGAGAGATTAAGTAAACTAAAACGATACGGATCCTCTATTCTAGAATTTACATTCTTTAAACATTATTATTTTATGTGTATGGGTGTTTGTCTCCATGTATGTCTGTGCACCATGTGGTTTCCTGTGCCTGGTGCCCAGGGAGGTCAAGAGAGTGTGACAGATCCCTGCAGCCGGAGTTAGAGACGTTTGTAGTCACCATGTGGGCGCTGGAAGAACAGTCAGTGCCCTTAACTGCAGAGCATCTCTCCAGCCACAGAGTCACCTGTGGGCAGTGAAGTGAAGATGGGATGGTGTTTATCTGACGAGCGTGTTTCGTCATTTCCTGTGTGGTACATACTTTTGATTCTAAAGGCAAACTATTTGGGAAAGAAATAGGAAAAGGAATAAAATGTCTTTCAGTTCAATATCTTCAAACAAAACTGTCTTCTTCCTAAGACCTTAAATATGG